TCTGCTAATTTTTGCCGAAATTACGGGCTTTGGACTTTGATAAATTGTTGAAAATCAGTTATACGGATTTTTTTTCTATACACCTTCTGATATTGGGCTGATTATTTGGTGTGTGAGTTAACCATGATGTGTTTCAGATCAAGTATAAGTTTCGTTCCGCTCTGCCAATTTTTGTCGAAATTACGGACTTTGGACTTTGATATATTGTTGAAAATCACAGTTATACAGACTTTTTTTCTAAACGCCTTCAGATATTGGGCCGATCTTTGGTATGTGAGTTAACATGATGTGTTACAGATCGAGTTTAAGTTTCGTTCCGCTCTGCTGATTTTTGCCGAAATTACGGGTTTTGGACTTTAAAAATTGTTGAAAATCACAGTTATACAGACTTTTTTTCTATTCGCCATCAGATTTTGCGCTGATTTTTGATATGTGAGTCTACCATGATGAGTTACAGATCAAGTTTATGTTTCGTTCCGCTATGCTGATTTTCATGTCGTTTCAATACATCTTGTTAGATCTGCAGTACATCCACTTTCCTGTTTGCTGATAGTTTGAATTTTAACTACTCATTGATCAAGGAAATTTTTCATCAAACTAGTATTGGTCTTGAGAGCTGGATACTATCCATGTATATTTGTGTCCACATGTGTTGTTGAAATTGCAGATTTTTCAACTTTTTGAGACGGGGCCATTCGTGTTGTTCCGACACATCTAGTTTTTACTAATATTGTTGTACTAGACTGATAATTGAGTACTTTTTATTCCTCATCATAATGGATTGTTCGACATAAAAGATATTAATGTCGATTACAATAAAAATTTACAATATTTCTTTTTTTCATTAATATTTTTGTACTGGCCTGATAATTGTGTACTTTTTATACCTCAGAATGGATTGTTAGACATAAAAGTGAAAACATTTAAGTTTATTGTCGCATCAAAAAAAAGGTGCCAATATTTTCCATTTTGTTAGAATATTATACAAAGACATTAAAATTCTGTTCGATTGGTCCCAATTGATGAATAGTTTTACACAAATTGAGAGCTCTTGCTCTTTAAGTCTACGATTACTAATATTTATGTCGAGAACAATAATAAATGACAATATTTCTTCTTTTTTTTTTATTAATATTCTTGTACTAGCCTAATAATCGAACACCTTTATACCTCAAGATGGATTTTTAGACACAAAAGTGAAAAAATATAAGTTTAAAATTGCAAAATTTGTCGTCGCATCAAAAAAAAGGGGCCAATATTTTCCGTTTTTGTAGAATATTATACAACAGCATTAAAATTCTGTTCTTTTGATCCATAAGGACAAATAGTTTTACATGAGAGCTCTATAAGTCTACGGTTACTAATATTTTTGTCGATTACAATAAAAAGGGACAATATTTCTTTTTTTTTTATTAATATTTTACCTCAGAATGGATTGTTAGACATAAAAGTGAAGAAATTTAAGTTAAAAATTGCAAATTTATTGTCGCATCAAAAAAAGTTGCCAATATTTTCCATTTTGTTAGAATATTTATTTATAATACAGTTGCATTAAAATTCTGTTCTTTTGGTCCCTCAGGATGAATAGTTTTACACAAATTGAGAGCTCTATTAGTCGATAACAAACAAAATTGCCAATATTTCTTTTTTTATATAATTAAAGCTTGTACCATTGTAGTGGCGGGATGAATTATCTGTTTATACCTTAGGATGGATTGTTTGACATAAAAGGGAAGAATTTATTTTTACGATTTTTTTTTTATAAAAAACAATGCAGGGATGAACAGTTTTAATAAAATTGACATTATACATCGTATATATAAATGTCGATCAACAAAATAATTTTTAAATGCAGTAAACCATGAACTACGGCAAATATTTTGAAATGATTGTATTTATTGTCTGAAAACAAAATTTTGTAGACCATTTTATGTCGTCTGTTTTATTTCAAATCTTAAATGTACTGTAATGAATATTGTTGTTAACATATAAAACTTTCTTTTTTGAAGTTTTGCAATATTTGATTATCCAATAATTTCTGAAATTTTTTTTAGCGATACTTTATGTATTGATCATTTCCAACATACGAATAAGCCTTTTAAAAATAAAGAAAATCAAGATTAATATAGTTCATTAGAATATGAAAGAAGGTACTCTAAATAAAAAACAGCCCAAATAAGCATTTTTCTAGTTTCCAGACAATAACTTGCGAAATGGTGTATGGATCTCTCTGAAATTATACCACAAGTTACCATATCACAAAGGGATGGTGAGAACTTGCTTTGGGGGGTTATGGCTTAAACTTTTTAGGAATAAGGGGCAAAAAAGGGGGAAAACAAGGGTTTCCAGGTTAATGGACAATTACTTAAGTACAAAACATAATTTCAAAGCAGTGTAAGGGAGCTAATTCAAACACATATTGTCAAATTACGTCCCTTACACTGCTTGTAAATTATTTATAAAGAAAGGTATTGTCTTTAGGTGATTAGCTGTCAATTTATTTTTAGAAGTTACTATTTTGAAAATGTTTAATAAAGGTATTTAATGTTGCTGATGAAAGTGTTTTAATTTTAGCCATGACTATGATGTAATTTTCTATTTTAATACCTTTATGATGTATTTAAATGGGCTTTTATGGTTAAAAAAAAACATTTTTCTAGTTTCCAGACAGTAACTTGTGATTAAGTGTATGAATCTCTCTAAAATTGTAGTACAAGGTTCCATACTACAAAGGAAAGACTGCAATTGAGTTATTGAATATTGTATCCAAATTTGTCCCAACTGTTCAGGGTTCGACCACTGCGGTCGTATCAGGCTGCTCTCAGCGAAGCATTTTATTATGTTGTGTGTTTAGTTATTAAGATGGACCAAAAAATATGGAGCTTGAATACACAATTATAAATTGGCATATCGAAAAAAGGCACACTGTTCAAAATGTTTAGTTTTGTTTGCTGTATGGAATGAACACAAGGTGACCATATCTATCTGGAAATGTTCATCAGACCGTGACATTATTTTCCTTGTGCATTGGTCATTGTCTAGTATTCATGCTTTAGTTCTTTTCTCAAAAAAATATTATAAGTGAAAGGTCAACTATATTAGGAGTATGACATGATTTTAGGGTGTACATGTCAGTCTGGTAATGTTAATATAGCCTTCTCCTCATTTTCATTGTTCATTAGTTAATGTCTAGCTGGTATTCATGGTTTGATCTTTCTAGTACTATAAACAATAAGTCAACTATACTTGATGCATGGAAAAGTTATAAGATGTACATGTCTTAGCAGAGTTCGTTTTCATAGTTCATTGGTCAATGTGATTTTTGTCGAGCTCGACATAGGGATAGTGATCCGGCGGCGGCGTTAGCTAACTTCTTAAAAGCTTTATATTTTAGAGGGTGGAAGATCTGGATGCTTCATACTTTGTATATGGATGCCTCATGTTACGAAGTTTCCGTCAGTCACATGTCCAATGTCCTTGACCTCATTTTCATGGTTCAGTGACTACTTGAAAAAAAAGTTAAGATTTTTTGTAATGTTTAATTCTCTCTTATTATAAGTAATAGGATAATTATATTTGGTATGTGCGTACCTTGCAAGGTCCTCATGCCCGTCAGACAGTTTTCACTTGACCTCGACCTCATTTCATGGATCAGTGACCAAGGTTAAGTTTTGGTGGTCAAGTCCATATCTCAGATACTATAAGCAATAGGTCTAGTATATTCGGTGTATGGAAGGACTGTAAGGTGTACATGTCCAACTGGCAGGTGTCATCTGACCTTGACCTCATTTTCATGGTTCAGTGGTTATAGTTAAGTTTTTGTGTTTTGGTCTGTTTTTCTTATACTGTATGCAATAGGTCTACTATATTTGGTATATGGAATGATTGTAAGGTGTACATGTCTAGCTGGCAGGTGTCATCTGACCTTGACCTCATTTTCATGGTTCAGTGGTTATAGTTAAATTTTTGTGTTTTGGTCTGTTTTTCTTATACTGTATGCAATAGGTCTACTATATTTGGTGTATGGAATGATTGTAAGGTGTACATGTCTAGCTGGCAGGTGTCATCTGACCTTGACCTCATTTTCATGGTTCATTGGTCAAAGTTAAGTTTTTGAGTTTTGGTCTGTTTTTCTTATACTGTATGCAATAGGTCTACTATATTTGGTGTATGGAATGATTGTAAGGTGTACATGTCTAGCTGGCAGGTGTCATCTGACCTTGACCTCATTTTCATGGTTCAGTGGTCAAAGTTAAGTTTTTGAGTTTTGGTCTTTTTTTCTAATACTATATGCAATAGTTCAACTATATTTTGTGAATGGAAATAATTTATGATCTATATGTCAGTCATGCAGGTTTTATTTGACCTTGACCTCATTTTCAAGGTTCATTGCTCAGTGTTAAGTTTTTGTGTTTTTGTCTGTTTTTCTTAAACTATGAGCAATAGGTCAGCTATATTTGTTGTATGGAAGAATTGTTAGCTGTACATGCCTGCCTAGCATGGTTCATCTGACCTTGACCTCATTTTCATGGTTCATTGGTCAATGTTTAGTTTACTTGGTTAATGTTAAGTTTATGTGACAGTTTTAATAAAGCTTTATATTTAGGTCTATGAACATAATATCAATGATTAGTAAAGAAGGCGAGACATTTCAGCGTGTGCACTCTTGTTTATGGTTTGGTCTGTATCTCATAAACTATAAGCCATATGTAAACTATAGTTGGTGCATGGAATGATTGTACGGTGTTCATGTCTGTCTCGCATGGTTTCATTGATAATGTGAGATTTTAGTGATACTAGATGTAAAACCTTTATCTTAAATACTTTCAACATTAATTCAGTCATCTTGTATATTTTGTAGTTTAAGTAACAAGGAATACAAATAATTCTGCTGATAATGAATAAAAAAACCATTAAAATGTCATACAAGTTTTTGATGTACTCAGTATGCAAAAATAAAAAAACCTGACACTAAAATTTTACAATTATGAATATTTCAGTCATTTGAAGAACCAAAGATGTTTTATCTGATTGGGTGTCTTTGTGGATTAGCAATATACAACTCCACCATTATTGTGTTGAACTTTCCCTTGGCATTATACAAGAAATTACTGAAGAGGTAACTAAGTCTTTATATATACATGTATGTGTTTACAGGATATACAAATGTGAGTAGATCAGTTTAATATAGTATTGTGTTGGACATTAATTGTGTCATTTGCCTGGGAGAAGTAAAAGTCATCATCGAACAACTAAATGCTACAAGGTGCTTGTCCAATTGTAAAAGTAAAACAATCTGGTCGAAATGCAGAAACTCATCTAATATTTTTCTTTCCATCGATAAATCATCAAATCAATAACATCTAACACAGTCTACAAATTTACTTATTTTAGGTTGACCACATATTTCCCAATAATAGTTTCAGATTTAATACCATTGATCAATAAGAGTATGTTTGATTAGGATGTTGGTGCATATTTTGATGGACCTATAAAATGAGACCCAGCTATTTAAGTAATATTATTTAGGACACAATATCACCGAAATATTATTGATGTTCTTCACTGATACAAACTGACATAAAGGAAAACAAATCAAAATACAGAATTCTAACCATATCATTTATTGATACGTGTCTCTCTGGAAATTTTATTTGAAAAATGGTAACTTTGGTTTCAGGTGATGTCCATGCTCTAGTATTCTTAGACATTTCGTGCATAAGAAGATTTTACATAACCCATGTTTATCTTACTTATAATTTGTTCATCTACATTCCAAAATCCAATGTTGGATGGTCATTTTTCAAAAGGCCTGAGCTGATTTATATCTCGCCTGTGACGAAAGTCGCGGAAGGTGATACATATGTGTTGCTTTTCTGGCGACGACAATGATGGCGTCAACAATTATTAAGTTTTCTGTAGCTTGGGTGTTTTCCGCCATCTAATTATTATAGTCAACTACATATGATGGCAAACAGTTTTACCAACTATGATATCTTTCTGTAATACACACTCAGAGGAGTTGCCTTCACAAGGTGTCATTGTTACAATACCAGTAAACAATGGTCAAAGTCCAATAACTCCCTGAAAAATTGTTTCAACAAACTGAAAATATGGCATGGTCAAGAGACTGTGATGAAAAATAATTCTACCAAGTATGAACGTTTTATGCCAAACAGTCTATGAGTATTAATTAGTTTGGAATGGAAGGACGGAAACATTAACAAATCCCCTGTGGCGCAACAAAAAGGCTATAATTCATTGAACCAGTATTAACTTCATACTTGATCTGTGATAAATTATCTTAAATCTCTGTTGCAAAATTTAGCTTTATATCTGCCAGCACAACCAAACTAGAGCCTGTGTCGCTCACCTGCACCTGCTTCACAGGCCATTTTTTGGTAAAAATTATTATTAAAGGGCAATAATTCTATAGAGTTAACTGACAATTAATTTCAGTCATGTTGACGTACTTGTAGATCTTGTCTTCCTGATCATTTTTGTCGAGCCTGCGAAATTTATTTCGCGAATGCGAGACATAGCGATCCTGGATTCCGGCGGCGGCATCAACATTTAGGTTCAGTCTGTGGTTAAAGTTTTTTTAACATCAATAACTTTGTCAAACCTTCATGGAATTTTATGAAATTTGGACATAAGCTTGTTTATGACCAAAATACAGTATCGAGAGCAAAATTTTGAAAATATTTATTTTCATTTTTCCGTATTTTACTGATAAATGGACTTATTTTTTTTTACAGTTATCATTCAGATTCAGTCTGAGGTTAAAGTTTTTCTGTCATCAATAACTTTGTCAATCCTTCATGGAATTTTATGAAATTTTTACAGAAGCAGAAATATTTATTTTCATTTTTAACCGGATTTTCGAAGGAAATATCGGTTATTAAAACGGTGATATACGGCAGGCGGCTGGGGGGATCTACTGGCGGCTGCCAAACAGCTTGTCAGCAGAATAACAAGAAAACGCTTTAACAAATTTTTTTCAAATTTAAATATGTTGATTCCTTGGACTTAATGAAGGTCTGTATAAATTTTCAAGATTTTAGTATATCTCCTTTGTGAGTTATCGCCATTTTTAATATCCAAAAGTAGAATTTTTAAATATTTCACTCTTGTTATCATGTTATGATTTGTCTTATCTCGGAATAAAAATTGGAATGACAGATTTATTTGAAAATTATCTATTTCCTAAGTGGTAATGATTATAAGCTATATCATTAGACATTTTGAAGATTATTACATTATTAATTATGTTAGAGTACTATGTTAAACAACCATAGTTCTGTTCAATTAGATATTAGAAATATTTTAGCATATGATAATGATTTATTTTCATTATTAATTAGATCTTGGAAATATTTTAGCATATGATAATCATTGGAGTGACATATTTATTTGAAAATTTTCTGTTTTCTGATAAGATCTGTAGGAGTGTATATATAAAGTTTGAAACTTACTAGTATTACTGTATAAATGAAGTTTGGAATTTACTGTTCATTATTAGACATTTTGTAGATAATTAATTGTCCGTTAATCATATATATTCTTACCCCTACCCCCCTTCAATTTGATAATGTGCTTTTATCTTGTAAACGGTTCGAGATCCCTACTCCTAAACCATATATATTCTTGTATGGTACAATAAAACAAATCAAATGAAATATTGGGATAGTCCTCTGGTTCAAACCTACCCTCCTTTTTTTTTTAAACTTGTAAATGTGCAAGCTCCCTACCCTGAAACCATATATATTCTTGTATGTTACAAATCAAATGAAATAAAAGGTGAGTCCCCTTGGGTCACCCGCAGCGTGTCTGTTTGAGAACTTGTAAACGGTCGAGATCCCCACCCCTAAACCATATATATTTTTGTATAGGACAATAAAAGAAATCAAATGAAATATAGGGGAAGTCCATTGTGGTAACCCCCCACCCCCTTCTGTTTGAGAAATTGTAAACGGTTGAGATCCCCAGCCCTAAACCATATTTATTCTTGTATTTGACAATATAACAAATCAAATAAAAGTTTAGGGGAAGTCCACGAGGGTAAACCCCACCCCTTTCTTTTTGAAAACTTGTAAACAGTCAAGATCCCCACCCTGAAACCATTTTTCTTCTTGTATATTACAATAAAACAAATCAAATGAAATAAAAGTTGAGTCCCCTGGGGTCACCCTCACCTTTTTCCTGTTTAAGATCTTGTAAACGGTTGAGATCCCCCACCCCTAAACCATATATATTCTTGTATGGGACAATAAAACAAATCAAATGTAATATAGGGGAAGTCCATTGGGGTAACCCTCGCCCCCTTCATTTTGATAGTTTGTAAACGGTCAAGATTCCCACCCAGAAACCATATATATTCTTGTTTAGGACAATATATCAAATCAAATGAAATATAGATGAAGTCCACTGGGGTAAATCCCAACCCCTTTTTTTTGAAAACTTGTCAATGGTTGATATCCCCACCCCTAAACCATATATATTCTTGTATGGGACAATAAAACAAATCAAATGAAATTTAACGGAAGTCCACGGTGGTAAACCCCACCCCCTTCTTTTTGAAAACTTGTAAACGGTTGAGATCCCCACCCCTAAACCATATATATTCTTGTATGGGACAATAAAACAAATCAATTGAAATTCAAGTCCCCTGGGGTAACCCCACCCCTTTTTTTTTGAAAACTTGTAAACCGTCAAGATCCCCACCCTGAAACCATATATATTCTTGTATGTTACGATAAAACAAATCAAATGAAATAAAAGTCAAGTCCCCTTGGGTCATCCCCACCTTTATTCTGTTTAAGAACTTGTAAACAGTCGAGATCCCCATCCCTAAACCATATATATTCTTGTATGGGTCAATAAAACTAATCAAATGAAATAAAGGGGAAGTCCATTGGGGTAACCCCTACCCCCCTTTTTTTTGATAACTTGTAAACGGTCAAGATTCCCACCCAGAAACCATATATATTCTTGTATGGGACAAGATATCAAATCAAACGAAATATAGGGGAAGTCCTCGGGGGTAAACCCTACCCCCCTCTTTTTGAAAACTTGTAAACGGTTGAGATCCCCACCCCTAAACCATATATTTTCTTGTATGGGACAATAAAACAAATGAAATAAAAGGTGAGTTCCTTGGGGTCATTCCCACCTTCTTCCTGTTTAAGAACTTGTAAATGGTCGAGATCCCCGCCCCTAAACCATATATCCTTGTATGGGACAAAAAAACAAATCATATGAAATAAAGGGCAGGTCCCCTGGAAAAATTAATCAGTTTATGTGTGTTATATTTGAACATAAATTAAATATATATAGGGTTCTTTAAGTGCTGAATCTAAACTTGTTTTTAATTAGATAATAATATATTTTTATTATGAGATAAAGTTTTTGACATTGATAGATAAGTTGCAGATCTGTATTATTTTTTGACACATGAAAGAAAAAAATATTAGCAACTATTAATTAAATTTGATTATAATATGGAAATCGATATAACATCATATCTGATTTTAGAGACGTATTTTGCTTGTTTTTATTGGTTTATGGAAATAAGTTTGAGTTATTTGTTTTGAAAAGTGATGTGTTTAATTGATAGATATAAAATCATATCTAATTTTAGAGATATATGAGTGGTTAAGTCATATCTAATTTTAGAGAATTATTTTGGTGTTTTGTTACTGGTTCATGGAAATAAATTTGAGTTAGTGGCGAAATATCATTGGTAAATTATTTGAAACTTTTTTGGTAGGCTGTGTGTCTCTCTGTCTCTCTGTCTGTTTGTCCTTCAGTTTGGCAAATCAGTTTGCCACACTTTTATGCCTGCGCTGTAATTGAGGGGGCATTAAGTTTTACACTTGTCTGTCTGTAAGTACGTATGCTGTATGTCCCAAAATTGGTTTTCGTTCTCTATGGGACAATAAAACAAATCAAATGAAATATAGGGGAAGTCCATTGGGGTAACTACCACCCCCCCTTCTTTTTGATAACTTGAAAACGGTCAAGATCCCAACCCTGAAACCATATATGTTCTTCTATGTGACAAAACAAATCAAATGAAATAAAAGGCGAGTCCCCTGGGGTCACCCGCACCCCCTCCTG